GTATAATAGCAATATAAATGAAAATGCTTTGCGGCACTGCTTGCTAAAGTAAAAGACAACAAGAATCTAGAAAAGTACTTTAAGAGGTTTTGATTTTGAAGATGAAATGTTTTTTTCCCAGTTGCTTAAATTAAGAATGTTATTGCTCCATGAAATTTATTGTAGTGTTGCAAGTTAATTATGATAATACTGATGATGAAATCTGTAATAGTATGTGTCAGCAGCATTGTGTATTATCATTGTATTTTTAGTGATGCTCACCTAGTCCCTATTGTCCTTCGGCATGAATGGAAATGTTCATTCAAAGCGCTGTAATAGACTGATTATGTAGGTCACCTTATGCCCTTCAGATATCATGGGCTATCTAAGCAAATGATCTGACAGTGACTGTTTTGAGCAATGTAATAACTTTTTAACTGGGGTAAATTTCCTGTTTTACACACACCACTTAAAATCCCTAAGCATCTCATTCACGGATCCTATTTCCCCCATGCCTGAAGAGACTGGATGGGGCTGAATTTGGGGAGGTGCGTTTTTAAAGGGATGAGGTGAGTTTATAGCTCCTTAAGATCACCTGTAGTAAAACAAAACTCAAGAATCGGCTCTCACCCATTCCTGCAATGCCATCTTATTGCTGTCTCATAAAGTTCACCCTGATTAAAACAAGGAGCCCATCAAAATTTGATCAATTTGAATGTTTCTTAGCTTCTGTTTCCCAAACAGCGTGCCTATTAAACTATAGTTCTATGTTTTGTTTTGTTTACCTTTAAGCATGCAGGATGTCCATGCTTAAGCATAAATGAGTCCATAGAAAGAGAGTTCAATTGCCCTGCTACTGGAGGGTATAGAACAAGCCTACAAGTTCTTGTTAACCAAGCTTATGGCTTACAGCCGTAAGTGCTCCATATGGACTTTTCACAGATATTTATCCAACAGATCATCTGGCGATTTTTCCCCCCTTCTCTCTTTATTAACAAAATAACACAGGTTACTATCTTCACTTTCAGGCATGTATTCCTTTTCTTCCTTCTCCTACCTCTTCACTTAATCTTGACCTTCTGATAAAAAGTATTAAAGAAATATACTAAATCAGAGTTTGATGCATGTGCATTTGTTGAAGCATGTTAAAATTAGCTCGCTCTCTTTCTCTCTCTCTCAGCAGCTTGGAGAGAGTTAACATAACCAGCATCTGAGCTGCTGTTAAGCAAGAATCCTCTTCCCTTTGAGAGAGAGTATACACACTTCATTGACAATTCTGTCCCCTTTTAAGTTTTAGAGAAGACTGTGACAGATTACCATCTGTCAGACCTCCCTCCCAGATCCTTCTTCTCATGCTACTGTACTATGTTCAAAGGTACAAAGAACAAAGTTTCTTTCAAATACAGCTGAATTATGCCAAAGATTTGTTCTTCAAACATGTGTGACTGTTACTAAAGTATAAAACAGTCCTTTGAACTATGTATATAGGGATCTTGGACCAATGAGTAATGACGCTTTTGCTAATTGATTGATTGATTGATTTAATCAATTTATGTGCAGCCCATCTCCCTCTGAAAAACATCCTGAAGAACTCCTTAAGCTAGCAGCATAGTTGATCTATGTTGTGACTTACTTGAATATTTTGGGTGAAGCCCAGAATAGACTGGTAGAGCTCAATCTGCTTTTTTTTCTAAACCATCACCTAAAGTGGCTTAGAAATGAGAAATAGAATATGGGGGCATGTGGCTTGTAACCCTGAATAGTTTCTCTAATTGAGCACAGGAGCATTTTTGGGCCTTGAACAAAGTTTGATTATTTTTTATTAAACTTCATTTTTAAGTACCTGTTCTTTTTCTAATAAATTCCCACTTTTGTAACACTGAAAAGAAAAGAACTCTAACTGGTTGTTATATCCTGATCTGGAATGAAAATTAGATTGGGAGATGCCTACTGCATCTAATTTTTGGTGAGCCTGTGAATCTTTGATTTTTGTTTTTCAGGGAATTACATTTCAGCATTAGATTGCTGAAGCTCTAGGCAGGCTGGGAATGAAACTTAAATCTCAGGGCATAGAAAAGGCTTAGTATTGTGTTTTAAACTGGACATCTCAAAATTGTTTGTTATTCTCCCTTCCAGATTTTCTGGTTATTTTATGCATAAATTTTTAAAGGAAGTATTATTGTTTATGTGTCCTCAGTTGTGTTTCTGTCAGAACTCTGTTGAAATTCAGAACTCCATACAATAAGTTCACACCAGTGGTGTGGGTTTCAAAAATTGTTCGAACCTACTCTGTGGGTGTGGCCTCCTTTGTGGGAGTGGCTTGCCGCCCATGTGACTGGATGGGAGTGGCTTGCTGCCCAAGTTACCGGATATGAAGATGCCGAAGACACTTGTCAGAACCACCTTAAATTACCTCACACACAGCACTGGCATGCATAAGAATATGATGTAAACTTGTTTTTTTAAAAGGCATCTTTGGTTTGCGTTAAAACAACTTCAACACACGCAATGTTCTGATTGCACCACAAACGCAATAGTCATCCTTGCCTTTCACAGAGGCACTGAGTTTTATAAATATGAGCATGATAGTGTAGAATAATCATATCCAAGGACCAGTGGTGGGTTTCAAAAAAATTGGAACCTCTTCTGTAGGTGTGGCCTGCTTTCAGGGTCCACTGGTGGAACCTCTTCTAACCGGTTTGGTAGATTTGACGAACCGGTTCTACCGAATAGGTGCGAACTGGTAGGAACCCACCTCTGGTTCACACTGTCTTCAGGGCAACAGTGTACATAATTTCACATTTAATTACTGCATTGCCATTATTTAGAGTTCCAACAGAAAGTTTTAATTATAACTTAACTATAAAAAAGCACTTCATTGATGCAGGATCTCTCCAAATGCTATAAAATGAAAAGAAGGATAGGAAGGCATACATTTCTTTTCTTTTTTAATTTTAAGTTTGACAGTGTAACTGCGGCACAAGAAAAAGTGTGATCACAGCAGTACCAGTTTAGCTCTGGCAAATCAGCTAAATAGCTAGTATTTGGATCATTTCACACTTTAAATTCTTAATATGCATTGCTAAATATGTTTCATCACAGTTTGCTAATTAATTACAGCTACTAATTTTTGTAGTTGACATCGTTCATTTCAAAGTGTTAATAAGTTGCATCAATAATAGGTGTGACAACGATTTGTAAAATCTGGTTGAACATGCACTATTTAGAGTTATCACATACCCATTAAATACTGCAATTAGTGTGCAAGAAAACTTCTGCTCCTGGCGTTGATATTATCATCTGATATGTGCCTAGTTCTTTGGTGACTTCAGCTTTTCTCATCATAGAGGTTACAATACAACAGCGTTTGCAAAACTACTGTTTTTGCTCCTCGATTACTTTCATTTGCCCATGATTTATTTACTTATTTATTTATTGTATACCCACCTTTATTATTGTGCAAATAACTCAAAGCAGTGAACATATCCAGCATACCTTCCTCCTGTTTTCCCCACAACGACCCTGTGAGGTGAATTGGGCTGAAAAAGAGTGACTGGCTCAAGGTCACCCGGCTGGCTTTAAAGGCTAAGGTAGAATTGGAACTCAGGGTCTCCGGCTTTCTAGCCTGGTGCTTTATCTACTAAACCAAACTGGTTCTTGAGTTAAGTATTGTAATGAGTCATTGGACTTTTGGACTTTTAGTGTTTCACTGTCCACTAACTATTTTCATTTTAGCAAGCTATAAAATGTCAACCTTGATATTATTTTGTTGGGATATTCAAAGGTATCCCTTCAAAAAATGGTTTTAGTTGCTATAGAATCAGTGAAGCAGGAGCGTCAGGAAGATTTCCTCATATTAACTTTTTTAAAAGGTTCTCACATTGCCCAAACTAAAACATCAATGATTACCATGTATTTACTAAATTAAATGTCTACATAAAATAAGAAGCTTAATGAAAAATCTCCCACATTTAGTCTATTGCACTTCCAAATAACAGTTTGAGAGAATAAAATCTGAAACGATGTAAATACCCTACGTTTCCTCTGGTTCAAATGTGGGAAAACCCAGTAAAAGTACGGAAGTTCTCATTCTCTCTCTCCTCCTTCCTTCCCTCCCTCCCCCCCCCTCTCTCTCTCGCAAATCTGAGCAGCCGCTGGGAGCCCATCTCATGCCTTCTCCCAACCCCCACACCCTTTCTCTCAGCTACTGTCTGCCTTGTGGACCTAGAACTGATTGCTGTCTCCAGGCTGGCTTTCCTCTCCTATTATCATGGAAGGTGTCTCACGAAAACAACTGCACGGAAGTTGGAAACTACTCGCGGTGTTTTATTGCCACGTGCGTGGCTGCACAGCCACGCAGCTTAGAGGGAACATTGGCAACAACCTTTATGCATATGTGCCAATAAGCTTCAATCGTAGCCCAGGGAATTTGAGCAATATTGCATTCCCAACTTTTTTTTACTGTTTTCTTGGTACTTGCTAGGTTACAGTTTTGGACCTTAGCTGCTTCTGAAATTTCAGGGGAACTTGCTATAACAAGCCATTGATAGTTCACTCTCCCAATGGTCATCCACTAAAACAAGCAGAGCATACTTCAGCCTTCCCGATTCCACTAGGATTTTTTTTTTTCTTTTGTGGTCTAACTATTTAGATTAACACAAGCACAATTGCAAGAAATGCCTTTGCTTATTAATCTCTAAACAACACAGGAAGCCTGTCCCAACCGAAGGGTGGGATGCAAAAGTTTTAATGTGAGGTTACAAGTGCATATTTGGAATGGCTAGACATGAAGATAACTACTGCAGGATTGGGCATCCTTTAGAAAGTTTATAAATAGCTGTACTTAGTTAATAGACTTTCTATTGCAGTTTCAGGTGCAAAGAAGAAAGTTTTAATGCTGCTATTTCAAGTTTATCTATCTAGCTTCATTACTTTTCAAGTTGTTCTCGACACATCAGCAAATCAGTGAATAATAAATTTAAAGACTTCAACATTGGTTTTTTTGTCTTTTCCTTTCTCAGATGCTTGTAACCACTCCAGAAAAATGGGATGTTGTGACCAGAAAGAGCGTGGGAGATGTCGCTCTCTCTCAACTAGTGAAGCTCCTTATTCTTGATGAGGTACACCTACTTCATGAAGATAGAGGTCCGGTACTAGAAAGTTTGGTGGCCCGCACTTTACGCCAGGTATGTCAAGTTAGAACAAATATAAGTAATATTGTATGCTAGATACAATTCCAATGATTAATTAAATCCCCCATCATGTCTAAGCTGCTTCCAGTAGCAGTCATCATAAAGATCACCGTGAGAAGATAATGCATTTTTGTCTCTTTCCTTTTGCAACAGAAGGAATATGGAGTATATATAGGATGCTTAGAATTTTGTGAACCATTTTGATTTTTCACGATTTCTATATAAATATCATCCAAAACGTCTTCAGTTCTCCACACAAATCCTAAAAATAAATAGAAACCATTTTTAAAAAATGAGTCAAAAGTATACTTCTTCATTTATTTATTAAGAAATACTGCATACATGTTTCTAAATGCTAATCTTAATTAGCAACACACAGACAAAGACAGTGATGTACTAATATTAAATCATGGTATTACTCTTTGTTCACATAGTTTCGTTAGACAACTGTACTGTTGCTCACAACTGCCATTTTGTTTTCTCATATGCCAGAGATTTATCCAATAAAAATCATACTGGAGAAAAATAATTCTACATACAGTAGATAGACTTGATTTGCTTATAGTTCTCATATTCCGACACATCTTCCAAAAGCCTGTTATATCCTTCAGTAAAATGACTTTTTTCAGTTATTGCTATTTTGAAATCACATAGCTTTTTTTTAAAAAAATGAAAGCATTATTTACTAAATGATATCAAATGGTCAAGTAATTGCAGATCTAGAATCTCAATGTGGGTAAAGGTATTTTTATTTATGCCTGGAAAAATAATCCAAACACATAATTTTAGCAAATTAATCTCTGCTGCTTCCTTCTTCGTGTCCTGTTATGTTGATTCATTGTGGAAGTGCTGTTGAATAACTTGACTGTTTTATTGGTTATTGAATAAAATTAGAAAAAATTAGTTAAGTAATACCATGTTGTACTTCCTAATTCATCTGTGATTCTATATTAGATACAAAACAGATTAACAATCCTCATAAAGAAGATAACGGATTACTGGAAATTAAAACTATCTGATTTTATGTTTAAAATATCAACAGCAGAGTAAAATAACAAAAGAGCAATGTGCTATTTTGGATGGGAGGGAGTCACCACCATGGTTGAAAGTCCAGTAGAGTTTAATAGCAGAATACTTAGACTACAGATAGGATCACAAATCTCTGCAAAGGAATTACTTTTTTATTTATCTTTTTTAATATCTTTTGCAAAGATCAGTTTTTAGTCTGTTCAGCCCTGAAGTCAAATTACAGCTACCTTGTAAGGAAGGAGCTTCGAGGTCACTGATTTGGTCTTGAATAAGAATATAAAAACATGTTTGCACATTATGCACTTTTTGGTTTTACATGTAACTCAAATTGAATTGATAAAACATTTTGGAAGAAAAAGCTTTGAGCTTTACTCTTATGCTGGGGTTAGAACATCAAAAGAATCCTCTGAAACCAATTTGCACTTTGATGTTTAAAGTTACACATTACTGAAAATAGCACAGATGTAAAATGAAAATGTTTAAAGTGGAGGGCGGGAATGAGAGCAGAAGGCTCTAAACTTCAATGATATTTACCCAACAAATTAGTGCAATTGAAATTTATTTATATATTTATTCATTTATATGGCCACCCATCTCAAACAAGTGGGTGACAACAATTATAAAAGCAATTAAAACCAAATTACAGGGACGATGCAAAAGAAAGTGGCTGAGAGATATTATAATCTGTAGATGTTGGCATAACCAGGAAACGAGGCCCTTAGCACACTCGGGACCCCAGGCTTGTGCTCGTAACCAAACCTTCAAGATCTTACAAAAGGCAACAGGGTTGGAGCCATCCTAATCTCTGAAGGGAAAATGTTCAAGAGGACAGGCACTATTTCTTTGGATGATTGGAGCTGGATCATGCAAATTAATCTTTAGAAAGGATGCTTGGTACTCTCCCTGTTCACATCAGAAAAAAAAACAATGTCACATCCCGGGGGGGAAAATCAAATAATATTCCCTCCACCATGTAAAGGCCATTCATTGATAGTGCTGAACAGCCTAGAGCCCAGATCTGAATTTTTGGTTACCCTACTCAGTGCCTCTTAACAATCTGACAAAGAGCAATTAATGCGCAATTTTTAATATGTTTTGTTAAATTATTTCATGAGGCAAAGTAATAAAAATACAATTCTATATAACAGCAAAGAGAATTAAAAGATAAACATAATAACAAAATTAACATGTATAACAATTTTTAGAATAAAAAACGGGCTAGAAGCCTAAATAATTCCAAAAAAATGGTCATATTGCTAAATCTTCATTGTCCTCTTGTACAAAAAAAATTAGTCCAATACATTTAAACAAGTCATTGCTGAAAACCAAGTGTGTATTTTTTCTCCAATACAGTGTAATATTTTTAGTCAATCCCAAGGCTTGAAAAAATTATTGATTTCTTAATAGCTTCCAAATCCTAAGGATATAACTAAGAAAAACTCATGCTTCTTAATATAAAGTAATTGATTCTAAGTCATATTAATAATCCTGTTGATGTCAGCTCCAAATCCAATAGTAATAGACAATCAAACCATGTATCTTAATGTTCCAAGTTTGGGGATAAATTTCCAATAGCAGATGATTGTAAATAGCCCATATTAAATATTCCCTGAGGTGTCCGATAGATACAAATATTATCCTCCTTTTAAAGTTATAGATTACAGTGTTCATGTTGTTTAATATGTTCTTTCATTGATTTACCAGAACAAGATATTCTAGCTTGTTATTCTAAAGGTCACATAAATAACTAATGTCAACTTCATCAGTGTCCAATAAAGATGAGTTACTGGCTTAGATTCCATGAATAATTCCTCCAAAACTACTAACTGCTGTGGCTCTCCAAAAACAATAATAGCATATGGAGCAAATAAATGAAACAATTTGCCTAAATTTGAATATACTGCATAAGTATATTTTCTATATAAAGTTCTCTGGAGAAGTTCAAACTTATTTCTAATTCTGTGAAAAAAAATCCTTCGAAAGTTTTAAAAATGGTTTCTTCAGAGTTGAGTTGATTCTAAGTAGTAATATTACAAGAGGTCCAGTTTACAAACCTTTCCTCACTTTTAGATTCTACTTGTTCCATTCTGTTCTCCATCCAGAATAGATAGGTCACTATCTAAATTGGTTAAATAAATCAATAAATGTGTAATCTAGAATTATTCTACCTTATAAAAAATTCCGTTGATGAGTGGGTGATATTTATATCCCTCACACAGTATGTACCATATATTTCTTGCAGTTTTTGAGCCAGCTTTATAGCTACTTAATTGTCATATCATCTAGATTGGAGATTTGCAGACCTTCAGATCTGAAACTGGAAAGATACTGTAGAGTGGATAATACATAATGCTTGTTTGGAATCTTCTTTTTAAAAGTTGCTTCTTTTCATAAGCTTGCATGGTATCTGCATCATTTTAGAAAAATATGAAAGTGTATGATGTGCTTTGAAAATAGTATGGGTTCTCTTGTTATTTAGCTAAAATGTCTATTTTGCTGTAATTGTACAGCGACAGTGGAAACCCAGTAAAAGATGCAACTGTTTTATGAAGGTGCTAACATGTCCAGCATGTGTACACAATGCATGTTCCAAGACATCAGATATGAAGCATTATATCTCCATAATGTAAACCATACTTGACTAGCTAGTTATCACTGTGTTCTTTGTCCAATGCTTTGTTAATGTCAAGCATTCCAGGAATATGTTGAGGAAGTTGCTTAATTAAAAATGAGTCTGAGAAAACGTCTACATGGCAAACGTATACTGAGTTCCAGTCAGCACTGCATTGCTTATATTTTATAATATTCTCTAGGCTCTCTCTAAATTTCAATCCAACACTAGTTTTGAAATTAAAGACATTTATCCTCAAATTTCTCCAAGTTAATTCATAAAGCTTTATCAGATCATAAGCAACTTTAGTCATTACCCTAAATAGGCATTCCTTAATCATCTTTCTGTCCAACATCACTCTTACTCTTCAGTCTGCTCTTTGCAATTCTTCTTCTCCTCCTCCTCCTTCTTTTCTGCTGTTGCTTCTTCTTCCTTTTCCTCTCAGTTCATTTAGCTTTCTTTTTTTAAAAATACTTTTTTTATTTTATTTTAAAACAAACAGACATAAACACACACAAACCAAAATTATCCTCCAGTTACATACAGTATGTCGATTGGTTACAAAGTTTTTGTGCTTCCTCATAATAGTCTTCACTTCCAATTTACATAAAATCTCATATGATCAATCTAATACATATGTATCCAATTACTATGATTATTAAACATTCATTTGACTATCACTATTATTACATCCTTTTATGTGAAATATTCTAAATTTAAAATAAATTTCTACTATGGCATTTCATTACATCATCCTAAAATCATCCAATAATATTACATCTTTATATTATATTCTATATAAAATTGTTTATCTTTAGTTTAGCTTTCTTGATAACAAAATTGGCTAGCAACTTTCTATCACCCATCTTGAGCAATTATATCCTCCATCACTACATCTAAACATCTATGAAATATCTGCAATTTATTTTCTATAAAGTATTATTTCTATTTTTTTGAACTGGTCACTGACTGCAATAAGAAATTTTTTTTCTTTATATTTTATTCTCCTGATAAATAACCAACAACAAACTGCCTTATACTGTATCTCTTCTTCCATTTATTTTAATCCAGATGTTCTATGCAATATCATTGTCTTCATTTCCTTGAATTTCAGTGCAGATGTGGGAATTATTATCATAAAGTACATGTCCTCCTTTCTATTACTTCTATTCCCCTTGAACAAATTGTATCTTTCAATTGCTATTTTCCAATCATGGGAGTCACTCCACCAGCGTATTTAGATATGCTTGCCTTCCCATTCTTGTTTGTGTTTCATACTCTGAGCCTCAGTGTGTACATAGCAAAAGCTATGCATTTTATAAGCCAATATTCTTTCAGATTTTTAGTGTGCACTGTAAAGGAAATTGCTGTAACAAGGCTTTTCTCTGAATCTTTACTTCAGAGATTTTCATTTCACAGGAATTAGTTCAGTTTAAAGACTTCATGATCAATCCAATCTATATGCTGCATCTTTTAGGCCTTCAGAAAAATATCCAGATTGAAGGATTGCTGCTTCTGGAAGATTCAGTCAAGTAATGAAAGTTATTGAATCCACTCAATTTTTAGCTGTGTTTCATAAGTAACCATTTCTCCTCTTTTGCTCCCATTCATGACCCCGGGAATTTTCCTGTGCAGCAAGAGTACTAAAAGAATCTGAATGATGTATCAGACTATATACAGTAGGGCGTTATTTCCAGTCTTTTCAGTTAAATAAAAATATTTTCAAATAAACATCATAAGATCCATATAGTTCTGTTTTGTATGTAGTTATTGACTGTAATTGCTGATCTTTTTACATTTCAGAATCCTCAGTTCCATAGTTATTATTATTACCCACAAAACAGCATGAAAATCATTAAAAACACAACCAAATTATAGTCCTGACATTATAAAGTATTGATTTTATTTGCCTTGTTTTCTCACAAGCCATGGGTGCATTTTAATTTAAGATAGATTATTTAAAAAAAGATGCAAAGATTATATTACCTATGACTTCCATTCTGTTGAATTCCTCCTCTCATTAACCTAATCTATTTTGATGCTATGAAAGATGTGTATTATTTGGCATCATTCTGATGGAACTAGATTCATGTAACTTCATTTAGGTTAATATGACTAAGTTGTTAGTTATTCCTATATATATAAGAAGAGTAGAATTTTTAATACTGCTAATAAAATTGACATAATAGGTTTTGACCCTACCTAGAATTACTTTCTCCTCCTTTCCCCACTTCATACTTGATATTTATGTAAACAAAATATATAAATCTATGCTAAAACCAGTAGATTTGACAACTTTAAAACTCCTAAAACAACTATTCCTTTAAAATAACTGAACGATTGGTTTTTCAAACAGAATTAAAATCTGCAGTTATATTCTCAATTACTCTCCCAATGCAGGTTGATTCTTATTCTTCAACTTTTCCTTTCCCCTGTGATAATAGTCAGTTTGCTATATGGCATTACCTAGAATTACACTTAAATTTCTTTATAATCTTACCATATCAAGGATTGGTGCAGTGAATCTCAAAGATGTTATTTAAGATTCAAACAAAATTACCTTCATTAAAATATTTTCCAGGTTCTAAAACCTCATATCTTTTAAATATAGAATAAAATGTACATTTTCAGTCCTGAATATACATTTATTTCTGTAGCTTTTAAGACTGGAACTCTATTTCTGCTGAATTTCTTGCAGTAAAGTTAGGTGATATTAGGAAGCATTCTTAACATAACCATAAAAAGGTCTGTACTTCTACTTTTTCATGCACTAGTTTTCAGTAATTGCAGAGTCGAAACGATGCTAATATTCCTCTCACTGTTACAGTAACCAATACATTTGATACACCTCTAAATCATGACAGGATTGGTTGTCTCAAATCTATTTTGATATTGCCTTCATAATGTGGAACCATGTTGCCTTCAGTCTATTTAGTGTACAAAATTAAAGTGCTCATTTTCAATCAAAAGCAAGCTTTGTCAGTTCTTAATTCTTGAAAATAGACTTTAGCTGTGCAGTTTCTCCAGTTGAAGTCCCTGAAGCAATTCTTGCCATTTAGTTATTATTGTAATCATCTACTGATTCGTCTATGCATTTTCCCATTTCTATTTTATTTTTATTTCTACTATTTCCAATTATGGTTATTACAGTATAGTACTATGGGATAGTGAATGTAGGGAAATTAATAACAACAAAAACCACAAAATAAATATCAACATCCCAATGTGTATTTTAAATAGTCACATACAATCAGTTTCTTGGTTAAAAGCAAGTTATAAGAATTAGGTATTCCAATCCATTTGAACCTATAATAGAAAACTGATCTCTTAACATGTTTACAGAAGACATTCCACATTCTAGTACCATTAATTTAGTATACAGTGGTTGATAACACTTGTTGAAATAATAATAATGTCTGCTGAAGCAACCCAGGAATTCATGGCTATATAACAAGCATAGACTTGACTCAAATGTGGTATTACATTTAATAAAGATGTGGTCTGCTGTTATAATGTATAATCTTAATGCCATAATGATGCAACCTGATGTGCCAGGATTGCTGATGCTAAACAGTGCAACTATGTGATGTTGTGTTTTACACCAACATTACTTAGTGATTGTTGAGTGAAGGTTATAAGTAGTCTTCAACTTGCAATCAATCACTTAGCAACTGTTCAAAATTATCACTGACCACCTCGAAGGTCCTTATGACCTGGTTATTAAAGTACCAACAGTTGCCCCCCAATTCACATGACTGCATATTGGGCACTTGGTAGTCAGCCCACATTTGCAAACATTTGCAGGATCCCACAGTTTTGTGACCACATTTCAGGACACTTCTTCCATTTACTTCCAACTTTCGGCAAAACCAGGTCATTGTTTCACTCAACAACCATCATTGCTTAAGACTGATGGGCAAGCTCCATTATGGTCATAAATCAAGGCTTTTTTCTCAATTAAAATACATTATGCATTCAGTCAATATGAAATCTTTCATTTATATACTATCTAATAAAATTAAGATAATTTACTTTTTCCTTTTTTCTTTTTTCAGGTTGAATCTACCCAAAGCATGATTAGGATCTTGGGGCTGTCAGCCACATTACCTAATTATCTTGATGTTGCTACATTTCTGCATGTTAATCCTTATATTGGGTTATTTTATTTTGATGGTCGTTTTCGACCTGTTCCTCTTGGCCAGACATTTATAGGAATCAAGACAACCAATAAGGTAATATTTAATAATAGGATATGAAATTGAATTCATTTTTCTCAAAAATATGTTTTAGCATGACTATTAAGTAATGTACGATTTGCAGCCAAAAGGATCCATATTTAAGTTTGGACATTCTACATAAAGTTGCTACCTGAAACTGAGAAGATGCAAGACATGTTAGATAATTTATATTAGATTAGAGGTAGGAGCACCATGAATCCCTAGATCTATCCCTTAGTGCTTAAGAGGCCCATCTAATTCCTTTAATAAAAAAAGATAATCAGAAAAATAACATGCTGCAAAGCATTATACCAGTCCACAATATAATTATTTTCAGCAAAATATTTCAGCCCCACAAAGTTGTCACTGAAATGTAGAGAACATCCTGTAAATGTCACCTGCCATCTGACGCATAACTATTTATGACTGGCTATGCTCACTCTGGTAGGCAAAGGTTGTGTACATGAGATTTAGAGACTGAGAAAGAAACAGGAGTATCTCAAAACGTTATTAACAATAAGCATATACTTACAGTAGTGTTTAAAAGTTTTTGAGCCCTTTTGAATTTTCACTATTTCTGCATAAGTATGACCTAAAATATTATCTGTTTCCAATGCAAATCCTAAAATTATATAATATACTTTTTTCCTTATATTTACATGAATGTAAGCAATAATACTATCTAAGATTTATTTATTTATTTGTTTTGTTTTCAATAATTACGTAATTATTCTGAAAATCTGAAGCATCAGATTTCTTGATAGCTTATCTATTGCAAATTAGGAAGCCTGACTTACTAGTGAGCCCTTAGCTCAGTTTAAATTTGAATTTGTAACTCAAGTTCGATCACACTGGGTAGCAAAACTTCTGAATAGAGTGCATTGTTAGTACTATGTGGACCTCTTGTTTTCAGTTGCTGTGGAATAGAAATTATTTGTGAGATATTGTATTTTTGTAAGTGACAGTATTTAGTAATAGAGTAACTACTATGTAGGAAGAATTACTGTTAGCTCTTTTTTTCTCACTGAAGATACTAGTAATGTTATGCTTCATTAACTTTGGAATAAAGAATTCTGTGTAGGCAGTACTGAATGTGCTTTATTCTCATTTTTGCATAGTTTGCTGTATAAAGACAGATGATGATTTTTATTTTTTCCTGCCCTGTAGATCATTTATTCAGTGTGGTGAATTACTATTTTAGTCAGGATGTGCTGTGGACAGAATACCAGTTCTGAATTTCAATCTCTTAGCTTCATTCAACAATATTTCAATAATATATGGAATGAGAACAATCAGAGTTACGTGGGCCGAAGCACCTGGGATCACATTGCAAATACCCCCATAAAAGAAGAGAGTTTTTAAAATGCAGTTATTTTTGCTTTATTGATTATGCAGGCTTTTATTGCATAGATCACAAGAAATTGTGGAAGCCCTTAAAAACATGATTGTAACCAGTTCACATCAGAAAAATGTATGTGCTGACAGTTAAAGTGGAAATGTGGAATAGTTAATTGATTCAAAATTGAGAAAGGTGTGTGCCAAGGCTGCATATCAACCCATTTTCATTTTAACTTATATTGGGAACATATAATGAGAACTACCATATTTTTCGGAGTGTAAAATGCTCCAGAGTATAAGACACACGTTAGTTTTGGGGGAAGAAAATAAGAAGAAGAAAAATTCTGCCTCTGCCTATCAGCATCCATGGTATTCAGCTGACACATGGTAACAAGGTCAGTCAATGAATAGGCATAACAACTAAGTCAGCCAATGAGGGCTATCTGGAGTCTGAAATTTGCTGTGTGGGCAAGAAGGAGACAGGAAGGAGCCTGGCTTATCTGAGAACTGAAAGTAAAACTGCTTGTGTTTTGCTTGTATTTACTGCTACCTTGGAAAACCTGCTTTTTGTAATGTATTGTATATTATATGTGGTTAATCTTTGGTGAGATTCACAGTCTTTGGGGCTGGTTGGTAGCTCAACAGCTCGAGTCCTAACCAAGAACCTAGGAATTGTTAAGGTAACGTCGGAGGATATAAGCTCTTCCAAGTAGGGTGGTTTTTTGTAGAATCAAAATGTTCAAGTCTGATGAATTTAAAATTTCTAAATTGCGAGGTAGCCCTTTAGGTATTGCTCCAAGGACGCCAATTACAATCGGGACAACAGACGATTTCTTTTTCCACAGTCGCTCAACTTCAATTTGCAAGTCCCAGTACTTTGTGATTTTTTCTTGCTGTTTATCTTCAATTTGTGCATCTCCAGGTATTGCAATGTCAATGAACCATACTTTTTTCTTTTCAACTATTGTTATGTCAGGTGTGTTGTGCGCCAAGTGCCTGTCAGTCTGAATTCTGAAGTCCCACAAGAGCTTGACTTTCTCATTCTCTAAAACCTTCTCAACCTAATGGTCCCAGTGGTTTTTGCTGTACTCAAA